CACTTTCTTCTTTTGCTTGGTAGGTAAAAGGAAGTTTTGTCATTTAACTGATTAAATGTTATACTACAGTCAACTAGTATGGATACTTATCTGTTGAGAGCCTCCATTTTTCTGATAATTGAAACCATGACAATGCTAACTAGTGCCACTGTCGTGTTGAGTTTTACATTATCTCTATTCGTCTGTATTCTGGTGTCATATACCCTAAACTTTGCGTTAATACTCATCTTCTGACTGCGATTTTTAAAAAAAGATAATATCATTAGTCTTTTTATGAGAAATTACTAAGAAATTAAGTAATATAAGATAATAGTGATCAAGTATTTATGACAATACATTCGAGGGAGTTATCGTTGCTAACGCATTCAATTTTTTCCGTCTCAGGCGATTAGACAAAAATACTATAGAGCAATTCTCCACATCCAAAATTAATTTTTGTTTCTGAATTCTATGTTTCCCGAGCGATCATGATTATTTAAGCGTCCTATATTTCTTAGTACTACCCTATCCCTTTTTAAAGAAACCAAGGAATGTCATCTGTAGAAGTTGGTTGGGTTTTATATTTATAAGATGTTTTTAAATCGTTGTATATGAATTGCCAATTTTATAACTGCCACTACTGTTATAATGAACAAAGAATCGGGTGAGCAAAGCGATTTATTTTTATTATGCCAAATCACACACTTTCTAAAATATGAAAACAATACATTAAATACACGATTTAGCCATCTTCCCTCAGTTGTCCCTTACAAACTCCATCGTCCTTTTTTCCGTATTATTATTCTAATTGCTTTCTGTTTTCCTTTCTCTTCATTTTCCTTTTCTATCTGTAAGAGTTCTATTTTCAATTCCTGATACACACTACTTATACCTGTCCGTACAAGAAGTACACACCACATTGTGATTAGCTACACAAAAATTTAATTTGTACTTCTCTATATGGATTCTGTAGTATTTGTTCTATAAAAATAGTAATGATACTACCTTTTATATACTACAATTTGGATTGATCAGTATTTTGAAAATTAAGTTTATTTACTTCAATTTACCTTTTTTCCTGAAGTAGTTCGAAGGCTAATAAACTAACCATATTGTTTGTTTCATTTATAGTTACGTTGTTCACTTATTTATTTATTTTATTTATTTTAACACATAGGTATTGGTACAAGGAGGCACCAAATACATATGCGCCACACGAATCTCAATTGATTTGTGTGAGGGCTGTGATACTGTCCGGGTGCCCAAACCGAAGCAGATGGTTTTCTTAGGAGACCACACCCCGAGCCTTCGACCTGGACGTCTGACCCACAAGGCAGTGGAGCATCGTAAGGAGATGCAGTCCCATGGTAGCCGGTGACCAACGATTGGTTCATACTCCATTTGTTCCTTCAGGATACTGGAGCCCATGTGCACCATTGGTTTTGGATCCGGTTAAAGCGCCGGACATTCGCTTTTCGTCCTCTCATTTTCGTAAACAACACCCCCGCCACGTGAAGGCAGTGAGTAGGACTTCCCTGGCAGAGGCTATGTACGCGTGGCCATGTGAGAGCATTTCGAGAGGGAGGGCGGAGTCTTCCCACTCTCGGCCGTACGAGGGCATTTGGAGGCACGTTGTTCACTAGAACTAATATGAGTTGTCTGATAGTCAATCATTCAGCATACAAAATGTCCATAATACTAAAGAGATATTCATTTGGTTAATGTTTGTTTGGACACAATTTTTCTCAATAGTTCAAAGATGTAGTCGTCCAACTTACCACTTTGTGATGTGTTACTGTTGGGAAACACTGACGGTCATATTGTAACCATTTATGGTACTTGATAAGCTGTCAGAATTAATTTAAATGTGGTTAAGGTCAGCTTCTTACACATCTATTTATAACTGTACGTGGTCCATCTTTTAGTTTCCTTATTGTTGTAATATTTCAATTTTAAACAAAATTATAAAAATCTAAATCACTCCAACATCTTTATTTTTTGTATACATTTTTAGGTGGTATTGTTGATTATAGGATCATGACTGTACAACAACTGAATGAGTTTGCTGCATTGTCATCTCAAGGCTTAGATGGTGCACGTAGTCATTTGGTTATGTTATTAGAGCAAAATCGAGGCGGGCAAATCGTGCAAGACTTAAACTATCATCAGTCTTTGATTGTTAATGGATTAAAAAATTTGTCTGATGAAATGAAAAATAGTAACAAGTCGTCTTCATCTGATTCATGAGTTATAACCATTTCAAATTTTTAGTTACCTTTTTTGTAAATATTTCGAGTGGATATTGTTAATTATTGTAAATATAAACATTATTATATGCATCAGTCACTTTTCATATAATCTTATTTGCTTAAAACATTGTTTACTTTTCGTTATCTTAAATAATTTATTAAAGCTGTTATATTCGGCAATATCCTTGTGAACGGATAAGCTTAAAACTGTGGTTTATTCGTTCAATCACTCAAATTTCAATCAACAACTCACCACTTAATCACTACGACCTATAACGGTTTTGATAGGTCGATAGTATTGGTGACCCTAACACAAGACACCTGGCTCTTTATATAATACAATAACCTGTTATTGGGTGGCTTAGTGGTTTAAGTATTTAGTTTCCAACTATCCGATTTCATGTTCGAACTCTGCTCTTATTACTCTTATTCGGCTAGTATTTGAAAATGTACTCAATTATGGCATTACATTAATTGATTACATAATTACACTTGTACTTTGGATTTCTAAGTGAATGGACGCCTAATGATAAGCTTGTATGCACAGTGTAGATGGGAATACACCCATTTTTAAAATCTTGTTTAAATTTCACTTTTTGTTATTGAGTAATACAGTTATAATTTATAACCTATTTTAGAGCTAATTTCATAATCATCACTATCTATTGATTGATAACTAGTAGTGGAATACTAAACTCAAATTTCATCCTGTATTAAGCACTAGTAGATCGTATGTACCTAGATTTCATTGGTGTATGTGGTTATTAGTGTAATACTCATAACTCCAAGTGACACAGTTTTGTTTTCAACCTTTCAAGTACAGTTAGACTTTAGTAATGTATCGATAGACTTAATTCAAATATTGCCAATATGACTCGTAACAGGAATAAACTACCCGATTCATTTCGATTTATTAATCAAATACGTCAAATTATTTCAATGCTAGATTTTATAATTACTTGGTTCTATTCACAACTTTCTGATTTAACTTTTTTTGCTATAAAAAAAAACACATCATAACGTAGGATTTAGCTACCAATTATGTTAATTATTTGTCACTCCAACTGCACAGTATAGTTTTCATACTTTAATTCAAGCATATCAAAACAAAATGAAAAGCTACATAGTTTTTGTCCACGAGGTCTACATCTATTTCTGTCCGACCAACTGAGTATTTGTCTTGGTATGTATGTAAAAGCTATAGCTCACTATTGAATGTTCAAATAACTAGAAGCGAAGGTTCCGTCCGAATTCTCGCTTCGGTTTGGGCACCCGGGCAATATATCAGCCCTCTCACAAATTAAATTAGATTTGTGTGGCTCATATGTACTTGGTACCTCCTTGTACCAATATCTATGTGTTCAAACAACAAACAAATCGCTTACCACTAAGGCTTGTCTGTAATTTTGAAGCAATTGGACTTTCACGTGGTATTCGAATCCGTATCGTTCACTACATAACAAAAGGTGATATTACCTTCGACTGATCATAAATTTCACAAAACCTCAATTGATTGTCTTGTCGATAAATAGATACCAGGTCACTTATACTAGTGGGTACATCGCAACATGAGAGATAGAATACAGTTAGCACTAGGGATCAGTTCATGCAAATATATGTTATATATTTTGTTTGTAAAAATAATAGCTATTCATATGTTTCCGTCAATTGCGTGTTGATTTTTTTCTAGTTGGATATTCATTTATATTTACCAGGTTAATATCTTCCAGTTACAATGAAAAGTGAAGTTTTATGATAACTTAAGAAAATTCTAACCAGCAGGATTTGTTACATTTTTGAATATTACGTTTTTTCTTTGGTGAAAAGACTTGTCTGTTCATTTTAACGATAGGTTTTTAAATAAAATAATGGTGTAATCGATTTAAATCTTCGTGTTGGGTTGTAAAAAGTTTTATCAAAATTATTCTTTATCTTTTGAAATTTGATATATATATATATATATATCCCTGATGTAGGAGATGTCTGGTTGTGGCATACCTTAACAAACAGATCATGACGGACTATATTTTCCGAGTTAGTGAAGGTTAACACAATTTCAACTTAAAAGTTTGTTCTAATCAATCATTTGTATACATGGATACTTGTTGATTATGGCAGTTCCTATTATGTATAATGCACAGTATTTTATGTTCCACATCAACTTTTCGTGTAGTATTCTACATTACAGTCGTTGGGTTTAACACTCATCATCCACTTTTACTGTAAACGCCAGGATTTTTGTATAAGTTTTAATTGCATTCATAAGTGATAAAAGAATTAGTGCTTTAATTTAGTGACTTAATCTTGTTATCTTATTGGAATAGATGCAATCCGTTTCCAGTCTTAAAAGTACTTTGTCAGTTTACTTTAAGGTCAGTTTTAGAAATTCCAATGATTTAAAGATTGATATATAGTGGAAAATCACACCCACTTAATGTCATACATTATTTTACTTATACTCTGTGTGTTTTCGCTAGCTCCCCGTATTTCACCTTCCGATTACTATTGATGAAAAGTAGACACTTAACTAGATTGTTTCAAAATAATATACTATTTTAAAAATGCATAACTTTTTGATGAACAGTCTTTTCATTTTACTATTTAAATGCCTATATTCAATTCTTTAAAAATTAACAAAAGATTAAATCTACATGTGTATTATATTTGATTATTCACTGTTTCTTATAATTGTTAGTACTTTAATTCCCTTACTCTAGTAAAGCAACCTTTAAAATATAGAAAAAAGAAATATCGAAAATAAATTATACTTTCATGAATCTACCAAAATGTATACCCCACTTAATTGTGTCGTATAAACAAAAATGTAACACTGTTTGTCATCTAATGACCACTTCCTTATTATTATTATCACCATCACCGTTATCAACGAAGTCTGATGAAATAAACAAACCAAATGGTTATAAAATACTGATGAAATCATCATCAGTTCGATTACGATTAGATAATCTACCAACACATGTGCAACAATATTTTAATCTTACTCCTTCTGATAAACCATCTGAATTTATTACTGTATTGTCAAGTGATGTACAAAAACTGATTAGGAAGACTCATTGTTCAGTCAACTTTGTAAGTTTTGGAATTTATTTGCTTTATATGTCTTATTAAGATTTTTTCTTGTCCTCTTTTTATAACGGGAATAATTAATATCATGCTATATGGACCTCAACTCCGCTTGTAGCGCTTCTAGGGCTGCTGCCGGTCCCAAGTCCGGGTAAAGAAGAAGCGTTGGGTGTGTAGTCGGCAACCCCATCCTGTCCAAAACAACCTTGCTAAAATACACTAAGCAGAACGAGCAATTTAAACCAATTAAACTCTACCCTCCAAATTCAAGGAAGAATTATGACACTTCATGATCATCATTGCTGAAAAATGATATCAAATGGTTCTGATCAACGGAATGCCAAAAAGAATTGCTAAAACTAAAACAGCTCCTATAATCAAACCTGCTTACACACTGTGATCCAGATCTTCCAATTGTAGTCACAGCAAATGTGTCAAACTAAGGAATCAGAGCAGTAATTTCATATACCTACCCTAACGGGTCTAAGAAGGCAATCGCCCACGCTGCACAGTCGCTGACTATTGCAGAAAGGAACTACGGTCAGATAGAGGAAGAAAACCTCTCCGTTATATTCGCTGTAAAAAGTCCCACAATATGCTGTTTTTTAGACAGTTCACCTTACTAACAGACCATAAACCGCTACTGACAGTTCTTGGATCCAAGACAGGTATCCTTGTTTATACAACAAACCGTTTATAGAGATGGGTAACTACACTTCTGGGCTATGATTTCAAGATAAACTATCAACCGACAATGGATTTTGGACAGGCAAGTGCCTTCTCAAGGTTAATTGGTTCCGATGCAAAACAAGAAGAAGGTGCTTGCAGCTGCCGTAGGTGTTGAAGCTGAGGTTCACACAGTACTGAACTACCGGTCACATTCGAAGCCATTAAAGAAGCCAGTGAGAAGGATAATGAGTTGAAGGTTGATCGCCACTGCATATTCAACGGTTGGCCTTCATCTAGACTACAATATTTTCGTCGACGAGATTCTGTGACAGTTGTCGATTCGTGCATCAGGTTTGGCCACCACATCGTTATCCTCAGGAATCTTTGACATCAAGTCCTTAAGCAGTTACATAGCGAGCACCCGGGGAAAAGTAAAATAAAGTTACTAGCTCGAACCTATGCATACTGGCCGTCAATGGACCATGATATAAAACAAAAATGTCGCAGTTGTTGGGCCTGTCCAGAGGCCGCGCAGAACCCGACTAAAGGTGAACCATTAAGATCTCTGGAACCCCAAAACAAGCGAACAATCCTGACAATCTTCTTATTGTGCTTTCTGATGTTGCTTTCGGCATGTCATATACTTCTGGCCATTTTGAGAAACCATCGACAAGAACCAAGTAATTTCTACCTTGTATTGTTCCGGCAAAATCAGCGTGTATTCTCTGCCACGGTCCGTCGGGTTTTGGCCATAACTTGAGATCACCATCAACTGGTGGTTGCCCAGATGAAACTAATGCTAAAGAAGAACTGGACAACTGAAGAAATAGCATTACAAATGTCTAATGCAACCTTCCTTCTAGATACTGTCAAACTCAACGAATTCAATACAGCTCTCAACAACAGGTTCCACGCCCCACAAGATCTACCCAGAGAAGAAGAGGCTACTATGGAGGAAAACTGGGGAGAAATCAAAAATGCACTAACTCCAACATGACAAGTTCTGAGCCTCAAGAAGTGTCATCTAAAGGAATGGATCTTTGTGGAAACCCTGGACAAGATTCAAGAAAGGAAGAACAAGAAGACAGCAACTCACAACAGTCGAACAAGAACAGAGACATCGAAGGTAGAAGCTGGATACACTGAAGCAAGCAAGTGAATGAAGAGGAGTATTAGAGCCGACAAGCAGAAATACGTGGAGGAGCTCGCAACAACCGGGGAAAAAGCTGTAAGGGAAGGAAATACGAAACAACTAAATGACAAGACGAACAAACTGACAGGGAAATATAGTAAGCTAGATAGATCGGTCATGGACAAAAAAAGCAAGACAATCACTGAGATTCAAGGACAGGGGAACAGATGCGTGGAACGCTTGAATAGGCCAGCTCCATTGAATCAAGTGGCACTAACTTGGATTATTATTATTTTATTATTTTAACACATAGGTATTGGTACAAGGAGGCACCAAATACATATGCGCCACACATATCTCATTTGATATATGTGAGGGCTGTGATACTGCCCGGGTGCACAAACCGAAGCAGATGGTTTTCTTAGGAGACCACACCCCGAGCCTTCGACCTGGACGTCTGACCCACAAGGCAGTGGAGCATCGTAAGGAGATGCAGTCCCATGGTAGCCGGTGACCAACGATTGGTTCATACGCCATTTGTTCCTTCAGGATACTGGAGCCCATGTGCACCATTGGTTTGGGGTCTAGTTAAAGCGCCGGACATTCGCTTTTCGTCCTCTCATTTATGTAAACAACACCCCCGCCACGTGAAGGCAGTGAGTAGGACTTCCCTGGCAGAGGCTATATACGCGTGGCCATGTGAGAGCATTTCGAGAGGGAGGGCGGAGTCTTCCCACTCTCGGCCGTACCAGGGCATTTGGGGGCAAGAAAACAATAGCTAAATCCCGTGCTACTTACGAACGACAGTTGGTATATGATAGCCGTACTTGTCCAAAACGATTGTTTTCGTATGTTAAACGGCAAATAAAACGTAGCGATAGTATTCCCCCATTATTGTTACACGATAATTCAGATTTACTAGCTGAATCCGATCGGGGCAAAGCTGAGACTTTTTAAACCATTTTAGCGAAGTCTACTCTACGTTTATTGTAACAAATACTTGTCCCAATCACGCCGAGATACCAGCCATTGAATCTGCACAGGTGACTGAAGAAACTGTCCTTCCGTTAATAATTAACCTCAAACCTTGTAAGATACCGGGTCCTGACGGGTTACATCCACGACTGCTGTCATCTCTTGCGGACATTATTTCAAAATCGCTCGCGACACACTTCAACATGTCCCTTTCACTCGCTCAACTACCTAGGGATTGGAAAGATGCTATTGTCAGTCCTATATTTAAGGATGGTCAGAGACAGATCGTATCTAACTACCGGCCTGTCAGTCTATCTAGCACTGTCGTTAAGTTACTTGAAAATATAATTCGGGTTAGGTTGCTAAGCCACATAGATTCACACAATCTGTTAGCTCCTGAGCAACATGGATTTCGTAACAAGCGTTCATGCTTGACTAACTTACTTATTGAGAGAGAGGATTGAACAGCAGTCTTAGATAAAGGTTTGTCTGTCGATGTTATATTCATAGATTTTAGCAAAGCATTTGACAAGGTTTTATACTTAAGTCTTATGAAGAAGCTCACAAGCTTCGGAATAATAGGTGCTGTACATGAGTGGATAGGAAACTTCTTATGTGACCGCAGACAGAGAGTTAGGGTCAATGGGACGCTATCCGATTGGAAGCCGGTCAAAAGTGGTGTACCACAAGGCACCATATTAGGCCCTCTGCTATTCCTTCTCTACGTTAATGAGTTACCGCTGTTGCTTAGGTCGTCGACATTATTATTTGCGGATGATGTCAAAATATGGAGAGCAATAAGAGGTGAGGTTGATCATCTGGATCTTCAAGCTGACTTAGACGATTTAGTTAGATGAGCTCAAGGTTGGGGCTTAGAAATCAATTCTAGGAAGAGTGTGCTAATGCACATCGTTCACAGCAATAGTTACCATTATACTATTGATGGTAAACCTCTTCCATGCATTCAAGAACATAAAGACTTAGGAGTAATAAGTCATGATTTAAAAACAACTACGCACTGCAACGCAGCCGCTGTCAAAGGTTTTCGTGCGTTGTGGTCACTTCGCCGAGCGTTCAAATCCTTTGACGAGGAAATGTTTCGACTGGAGAACCCGTATTTATTATTTATTTATTTTAACACATAGGTATTGGTACAAGGAGGCACCAAATACATATGCGCCACACGAATCTCAATTGATTTGTGTGAGGGCTGCGATACTGTCCGGGTGCACAAACCGAAGCAGATGGTTTTCTTAGGAGACCACACCCCGAGCCTTCGACCTGGACGTCTGACCCACAAGGCAGTGGAGCATCGTAAGGAGATGCAGTCCCATGGTAGCCGGTGACCAACGATTGGTTCATACTCCATTTGTTCCTTCAGGATACTGGAGCCCATGTGCACCATTGGTTTTGGATCCGGTTAAAGCGCCGGACATTCGCTTTTCGTCCTCTCATTTTCGTAAACAACACCCCCGCCACGTGAAGGCAGTGAGTAGGACTTCCCTGGCAGAGGCTATATACGCGTGGCCATGTGAGAGCATTTCGAGAGGGAGGGCGGAGTCTTCCCACTCTCGGCCGTACCAGGGCATTTGGGGGAATCCTAAAGGAAAACGATAAAGAGGAAGGCCAAAGAACACACGCGCCAAGAATTGGAAGCAGATATCAAAAGGACGAATAGCAGTTGTTAACAACTGGAAAGGATTGCCTAGGACAGGGTTGGATGGAGAGTGCTGTTGGGCGACTTATGATCCTCCACGTGGGTTAACAGGCGTAAGTAATGAGTATGTGAACCTCAGTTTGAACTGAATTTTACTCATTTAAAACAACCAAGCGACTAAATGTAGTATGGATAGTTAACTAAAACTAATGCAATGAACAACGCAATAAGAACAGGTTCATTTACTCGTCTATTGGTGCTATATCAAATCGAAAGTAATTAGAACCCCATGAGGAAATTCTCCATTTTCTTCATTTTTCTAACACAATCGACACAAAGTTCCTGATTTTACGGTTTTTACTAGAATTATGGAAAGGTCATTTGATATTTAAGCTTTCATTGAAAATCTGTCATCTCTGCGCACCATGTTATTGTACAACTATTACTTCATGAGCAGTGTGGGATAGAGTAAAGCGTGAATATCTTCGAAGTATTAAGCTTACAGTCCATAAACAAGAAATTAAAGGGATAAAGAGAAATACTTGATTCCAAACCAGTCCTGGTTTCAGAAACGATTCAATCCCACAGAGGACTGATCAGTTTTACACAATTGTGAGTTTATAGCCTTGAACACTTATTGACTCGGAGCTCCGTGTAGCTTTAGAAAACCTCAGTAAAGTTTACTTTAGTCCAGTATTATCACAAGAATAAACTATGGTCGAACCTCATTACGCTGAATGTTCTTCAGATAACGGTCGAACTTAACCCTAAGAAAATTCCAATAAACTTATATCAGATGTTTTTATTTGTGATAAATAAATTGAAACGCATACAACCATATTCAAGGTTTCATTAAATAATTTCATACATTTTTTACATATTTATAGATTAGTGATAATTTACAACCTCCGTTACTTCAACTGATTTCCAAAGATGATACATCAAATTTCAACAAATCATTACGTAAATATGGGATTAATTTGCAGGGGAAAAGTCGAGTAAAAGTGATTGAATTTAATTCTACTATAGACGATACTATGTTTAGAGTCCGAATGAAACAGGCAGAAGATTTTTTGCAAGCAGATCATTTTGTAGTTATAATTATTAATTTGAAACATCTAAAAAAATTATTGTCGAAAAAAAAAATACAGTCTACGACTACGAAAGCGGATGGTGGTGAACAGCAGTTGCGAAATGTGGGGAAGGTACGTGAGTGCAATAGAAGTTTATCTAATTTAATTTAGTTGTATCTAATATATTGGTTGTCGTATATCACATACCTACTTAATTGTCATGCAGTATTATTTAGGTCAAGAATTTTTATTCAGTACCGTGAAACATCACCCATTTTATCACTTGTTAAAATATTTATGTGCATATTCCAATAATAAAACAGTTACTGTTCCAATCGCTCACCCATTATTTCGGAGTCAATGTCACTGAACGGTGAAAAAGGAACATGGGTTTTCACTTAGTTTAATGTACGCTACATTGACGAAAATACTAGAGATCACAAAATCTGTGACAGGGATTCTTATCAACCGATTTCATGGTGAGAAACGTAATTATTAAATTAAATTTCCACTCAAATGATTAATATTCTGTGTACTTATTACACCATGAATTGACTCGATAATTTCAAATAATACATTCTATTTTATTTTATTTGAACACATAAATATTAGTACATGGGGGCACCAAATATATATGTGCCACACAAAACAATGAGAATGGGGAGAAAGAAAAAAGAAGGTAAGGAGCGTAAAAGAGAAAAAAAAGAACAATAACGACCAGATTAGTAATAATAATGGGGGAAACGGAAAGACACAACCAGAAAAAATCTTTCAGTTAAGGGAGATACAACCGCTTTTTATGAAGAAAATAAAAAAAGGTTACAGCAGGATCGCCACTGGCTTCTATTCTGAGCCGTATCTGATAACGTCTCTAGCCACTGTGTCGCACCATCTCTCGGACCCCAGCCAGGGAGTCGTGAAGGACCAACAGAACCCATCCCTTTGCAGCTTTCTTTAATACCCCGACACCATGTCATACTCTGACCACCACCAAAACGTTGAAGGCAGCCAGTTTGAATGGTGCACGTGGTTTCAGAAAAACTGCTTCAGTATTCATATTTGGTGGTAGCATACAATTTTCAACCAGGCAGTGACTCGAGAACGTTTAGATAGAACCGAGATTCCACCATAGGCGAGCTGCTGTATAAGTCGAAAAATAAGGATACATAAAGTGGGAATAAAAGAGAATAAATGACGTGGTAAATAATAATAATAATAATAATAATAATAATAATAATAATAATAATAATAATAATAATAATAATAATAATAATAATAATAATAATGTGAATTGTTTGATCGTAAATCGAAGTGAGAATAGAGTTTTCAGTGAATATCGTCCTTTTCATTATATTTGTGTGTGGGCTGTGATACTGCCTGGGTGCCCATGTAGTGAACAAGAACAACAACGGGGAACAATCGGATGTATTTAACAACAAATTACAGAACTGGTTACTAAAATACAACAACCATATATTAAATCGTTAATTTGCAAATTGTTCACCAATTGTCTCAAATGACTCAGAATCCCTTTGTTCTTGCATTTTCATACAAATTGCATTCTTTCTTCATTCTTTATTGTTCGATCTTCTCGTCTCTTTGCTGCCAGACATTCTGTTCAGTACTCACGTCATATACTACTTATGTCTACGTAAGTAGCACACACCACACCCAGACCGAAGCAGGTGGTTTGCTTAGGGGCCACACTCCGAGCCTTTGACCTAAAGGTCTGACCCACAAGGCAGTGGAGCATCTTGAGGAGATGCAGTCCCATGGTAGCCGGTGAGCAACGATTGGTTCATACGCCATTTGTTTCTTCAGGATACTGGAGGCCATATGCACCATTTAATACATTTTAATGCGCCTTAGTATGACATACCATACAACTAACTCGTAGGGGTACGATTTCAATTTCCACAGCTGACACTCAATCATTAGTTTAATGATTATTTCTAAACATTTATAAATAATTCACTGTCACGAACTGACACATCTGTTTGTCTCGGCCATAACAAATACAATCACCTGCAGTTAGTCGTTTACAACAATCAAATTGTTGACAAAAGAACTATTCCTCAACTTATACAATGATCATCTGCCCTTTCAAAGGCATCTGTTGCATAATCTCGATGCTACTGTTTATACTCATCGATAGTTCACAAGTTTAAACGTTTATTAATTTGAAGTGCTATCTGAAAAGCCTTTCTCAAGAAGCAACTCAAACTACGTTACAAAACGTCCGTGCTTCAGTTTTCCGCTCATCGGTTTATTGTATATATACTACCAGTTTATTATTATTAATATTCCCTATTTGCCTACTGTCACGTCAATAATATAATCAATGAGACTATAATTTATGGACGACCTTTGAGCGAAGCTAAAATGACCTTGAGAATGCTCACCTACTAAGACTAAATGAGGGTTATAAACCAGTGTGAGAAATTAGAATTATGGTTTGCAGTTGATGGTTAGGGTGAGGAATTAGATTTAGGGTTTTCATCAGCTAAAATGAGTGAATTTCACGCCGAAATCCAAGACCTGTTATCTTATGCCTGATTGGTTCGTCCATAAATTATAGTCTTGCCATATGATCTCATTTTCTGTGTGAAATACTAAGGCATGCAAATTCCCACGAAATCAAAACTTCAGTCATCTTTTTGATCATATTACCAAATCTTATTCTCCGTTTCACTGCTCTTACGTTTTGTCACAGGCTTCCTAATTTTGTTCACCTTTCGATGAATAACATTGATTTGCAAGCAGTTTCATAAACATCTGAAGCTACACAAAAAGTATTTCACACATTTATAAAAGGTAGAAGAAATTCACTATATGGGTTTTCAATACCATTTAAATTTTTGTCATTATGAGACCGCTTTCTGTTTGCAATTAAGTTCAAAAAATAGTTAATTGATGACAAGTTATTATTGATCTGGTTGTTCACATTTTCTAAAATTACTTGTTGAATAAGAAGGACATTGAACGTATTACTGAAAACATTTCGAATATTTTCGCTTATTTTTAGAATTAGTCAATCTATACGTTGATTTTTATACATGCTCACAAATATATATAATTATGCCCTGTATTATTGTGTTTATTGTTTGGGCGAAAATTAACTAGCATTACTAATATACAGCTAATGTTGTACTGCTTATAATAACTTTTAAGCATCCACATTCGCATAAGAAATATCATCTATTATCCAAATAAAGGTACTTCAATGAAGATCTGTTCGACGGTATCACTTACTAAAGCTGTATGATCGTATTTACAGTTATTTTATATGCAGTAGTTTTTAATCTATTGTCTTTATTTAACAATCTGTTTTATTCCAGTGCTTAATGCAGTATTGTTTTTTCTAACACTTATTTTGCTTTCTCATCTTTTTTAAAAAACCTCAGGTGGAATATGAGAAAAATGTTGCAAAGTACACTGAAATATTTGAAGGTATACCTTATTGTAAAGTACACAATATTAATCGACCGAATGTGTTAAATATTGTTATGACTTTAGAACGTATAAAAATAAACTAGAACAATAATTATTACCAGTTTGTTCCTTTTTTGACCAGAATCATGATATCTTCTGTTGAAAAATCCATCATTTTTTGGGATAATCAAAAACACTAGTGTGGTGTTTGTATGAACTAATGATTCTCTTGTATTTACGTCTGTCTGATTTTGAATTCCAAATACAATACGTTCATTTGTGCTTACCTAGTTATACCTGACTTAAATTGTGTTATTTCGGGGAGTTTATTATTTCACTCAAGAACTTGATATCATTAAATTCTAATGTAAATAAAGCAAGAACAAATATTGATGCAGAATAGTATGAATTCATAATATTTCGAGGTTTCTCATCAGCTGCTTACAACCAAATATGTGATAAAAATTTACATTAAGATAGTGTAAAACAATTGGCATAAATGAATGTGCATAACTGGAATAATAACTAAGTATATATATATATATATATGCTAGAAAAGGTCAGAGGTTAATTGGTGTTAGAACTAAGGTAACAATTAAAGGTGGGTGATGTAATAGTTGAATGGAGTTTATACATTATGTGATAATTATTTTAGAGGTAATAGAACAGTGATAAGGTAAGTTACGTAATAATTGGATAGAATTAGAAGGGTTGACATGATATAAGAGGATTAGTGGGCGGAAACGTGTGAATGGAAAGTTGGTTCAGAATTAGGTAATGGGGGGAATATAACGCGGAATGAATATTTAGAAAATACAGTAAGTGAATAAAATAACACCAAAAAAAAATTACCAGGGTAATGATAAGTTTATTAACGTCTCTTTTTGAATGCATAAATCCGGTTTAAGTTTTTTTATCGCAATCGCTTCCGCGAACCGGAGAGTAGTAGTACTTCGTTGTTTATTGATAATTTTGAAAGTGTGTGAGATATCAATGGTATGCCCAGTGTCCAGTAAATGCCGAGCTATCGCACTGTTAAGAACCTTCGTCCCCCGCAGCCTCAAGTTTTTTGGAACATGCTCAGAAATACGAACGTGTACTCTTCTCTCAGTTCTTCCAATGTATGTGCTTTGGCACGTACATGTGAATTGGTAAATGCAGTTGGAGCTACTAAGAAAAGAGGACTTGTCGATTTTAGTTTCTTTGAGTGAGCAGTTCGTTTTCCATACTGTCATTAATTTTGCAGCTGGGTAGGCAACTTTCAACGCTGAATTTAGTCTGTGATTAATTAAGCCAGCGATTTCATCTCCTTTAAAACGTAGATATAGGAAGCAAGATTTCTTTTCAACTCTATCATACTTTGTCTGAGGATAGGTTTTTGCATATTTATGGATAAATTTCAACGGGTATGAATTTTCACGTAGAGCATTAGTGATGAGAGTGATCTCATCATCCAGGCGTTCCTTTGAACAAATTTTTCGAGCGCGGTCAAAAAGGGTTCGTATCAAACCATTTTTGTAACTCATTGGACAGAAACTATAGTAATTAAGATATAGTCCACTCCAAGTATTTTTATGATGAATGTGTCTCTGTAATGTGCCATCAAGTGTTCGTCTGATACCGATATCCAGGAAATGGAATTTACCTTCAACTTCTTTTTCCATAGTAAATTCTATATTCTTATGTGCTTTATTAAACAGATTGAGTAGTCTAATAGCATGCTTCTGATTGTTACAGACAAGGAATGTGTCATCAATGTATCTACAGTATAGTGTAGTAGTATCGATTGCGTGCTTAAGCACTTTTTGTTCCAGGTATCCCATAAATATATCAGCAAGAATTGGGCCCAACGGGCTACCCATGGCAACTCCATCAATTTGACGGTAAAACACATTATTAAATTGAAATTGTATGTTTCTAGTACATAAAAAAAGGAGCTGTTTAAAATCATGAATTGGTAGAGGTAGAAGTTCGGGATATTTACATATGATATCAACCGTTTCTTCCAAGGGGATGTTAGTGAAGAGTGATGAGACGTCGAATGAAACCATAAATTTGTTAGAAACATTTAGGTTGTCGAGTTTTTGCACGAATTCAAAACTGTCTTTTAGACTGTAGGGCGCTACTTTCTTTCGGATTGGTTCTAGGCATTTTGTCAGCCAGCGAGCAAGTTTGTGGAAGGGCGAATTGGTCATGGATAATATTGGTCTTGTCGGGATGTCGGGCTTATGAGTTTTGGGTAGGCCATATAAGTATGGTAATTGTGATCCTTTGGGTTTAAGTTCGTTGTATGTATGATTATCAATTAGATTTTTCTTCAGGAGTTCTCTCAATTTTTTTACGAGGCGTTTCTCGGTTGTCTCCGTTAAGTCTTTCTGGGTATTATCGACGATAAATCTAGTGGAATCATTTAAAGTAGACATTAATTTGTTGATGTATTCATCTCTGTTAAGAACGACTACCCCGGAACCTTTATCAGGACGAAGAAGCAATATTGTTTCATCTTTCATAAGTTTTTTTTATTGCTAGTTGGTGATCTTTAGTTAACACCGATTGTGGGGTTGGTGTCGTTATGTACTGGTTTGTAATATCAACTAATTTCGATTTTAACCAACTATGTTTTTCATCATTCGTGGGTTTTCAGTCAGTGAAACAGAACCATCGATACGGAATTAAAAAAACTTGAAAAGGCTCAATGTGGAGTTTTTATTAGTATCTAAAGGAGATTTTGATGATGTACTTAAATATTTGATAGCTGTGTGTGCCAAGTGCAAGTTATTAGGGAATGATGGTAAATCAGTTGATGAAGTCGTGAATCTACATCGACTGAGATGGTTGGGTCACGTATTACATACGTCCAACCACCAATTATCACGGCACACAGTGGTCACTAGTGTTGGAGACAGATGGAGCAAAGTAAGGGGCAGCCAAACCAAAACATGCCATCAGTCCACAAACTCACTTCTGGTTTGAGCCACGTTGGTAGATGCATACTACTTGGTTGGGGTCCACGTGACTAGCGTAACCAATGGTTGGAGATTATATAATATGGCTTTGAATCTATCACAATGGCATAGGTGTATGCACTCGTTGTTAATTATGTTCATAACTAACCGATCAAATCGTTGTTTAAGTGACCACCACGTTGATCTGGTCTGACGTATCTGTAAACTCTCTGTTGCATGTGACCTACCAATTGAAAGACATTATTATCCTATTATATTAATGTGACCCATAATTCTACTCATTTCGATAAGATATGTAATGCTGATTGGTATGTTTCTGCCTTTCACTTAATAACTGTAATTCCCTTAATTATTGTACTAATTTAATTGTTTTTACGTTCAAAAACAAGTAAAGTTTAAGGCTAAATTGTTGTTGTTCCGACTATAGCTTTCACATAGACTCTGTGCTCGCCAGTATCGCGTTTACGGTTCTAGTAGTATATCTGTTGAACAAATTAAATCCTACACTCGTCTCCCCTTGAACCATGAGACTAAAATCACTCTATACCTTTCATTCTACGAAATAAACATTCCCCCCTGGACCATATCCTTATATGGAATCTCTTTATATATTACTACCACTGAAGTGACTGCTTCTAAGATTTTAATTTTCATCTTGTTCTAATGAGGTATGGCAACTTGGACCGATGTGTATATATGCTTGGTCCTACATTGTCACCGAGTAGGTGCAGTGGAGGTATGAAAATTCAGTCTATAAAACTTCAAGTACAGGGGGATCCAGTCTTTCCTAAAAGACGAATAATTCCTTGTGATCTTCGAGAAACAGTACATAAGACATTGAACGATTTGTGTACGGAAGGTATAATTGATCCGATTCAATCTTCAGATTGGAGTACCCCTGCTGCTACGCCATTGAAGTTGGATAGCAAAACTCCTAGAATTTGTGATAGTTTGACACTTAACTCCCCTTGTCGAAGCAAACGTGCACGACAGTGCAGGCTGAAGATATTCTAAGTAGACTTCATGGTTCTAAGGTTCTCGAAAGTTGACTTGAAAGATGCTAATCCTCAAATCACTTTAGATCAATCTCCATCTATTTTGACAAAAATTAATACTCATTTTGGCCTTTTAAAATACAAATTCCCACCATTTGATCCAAGTTTTTCTCCAATCATATTTCAGGAAGTAATGAATAAGGAAGTCAGTGGTCTTGGATGTGTTGAAGTTTATCAAGATGATCTCAATGTTCATGATTCTGATAAGGTACTTCATGACCAGAGACATTGCTTTATTGCGTCGTTTAATTGAGAAGAGTATTACGGTGAATCCGAATAGGTGTTCATTTTGTGTATCTACTTTCGAATGTCTTGGATACCTAGTTAATGGTAATGGTTTTAGACCAGATTTGAAACGACTAGCTGCACTAACAAATGCTCTTCACTACTATTCCTGTATTGTACCTAATTTATCTTGTCGTGCCAATTGTTTATTTGACATTTTGAAATCCAATTCATTTAAATTGGTTGAGGGACAAGAGTTATGCCTACGAAGTTTACTAAGTTTCTTCAAAGTGATTCTATTTTTAGAACTTATCCAGTGTATATTCTGTATTTAATACTGTTGCATCACCTGTGAGTATTAGTGCAGTTTTGGAACAGGAATAAAAATCAGTAATCTGTGTTTCAATCAAACCTACTGTTGCTGAGCAAGGTTATTCATAAACTCACCATGAAGCATTAGCTGAGTTTTAGGATGTTTACAAGACTTCGCAAATGTATATTCGGAAAGAAATTCACTACTGTTACTGATCGTGAAGTTTATTTATCATCCTAAAAAATCTTTAGCACGTTCCTCAGCCGCGATGGAGTATTGCTTTGAGTGCCTATGACTATACGGTTCAGCACAGGAGTGCCAAACAAATTCAACATGGCTATATATCTTTATAATCATTACAAGATAAACCTGTTAATACAACAGACTGTTTGTAAGTGCAATCTTTACCGGTGAGAAGTCCAGATCTCATTATATCAACTCGTAGATACTTTGAATTTATACTCAGTGAGACACAGAACGTTGTAATGCTAATCTGAAATGTAGATTTCCTGTCAATTTTTCAAATCGGGATTAGTTATCCACTA